GTCAGAGCACTATGGCATCGAATGGAAGGAGACCACAATGCCTGATGACTCTTGCACATTTTTGGGTGCATGCCTCCGTGTCCACCTTGGCGGTTTCCTGCGTCTGAGCGTCTTCGACAAAGCAGCCGAATTGAATTTCCCTAGTATTATTTATATCCTAGTGCTACGTCTAACGTCCCTGCACCAGGTGGCGAGAGTGTTTACATGCCACAACTTACTTGGCTTGAGTATGTATGCAACAACTCGTATGATTTCAAAATTGCACGTGCGATGCTCACACGCTGCATGCTTTTTCGCGGGCACTCTTCAACAACGCTTGCAAAAGGATGGACTTCCTATATTCGTAAACGTCAACACAGGTACCCTGCGCACATGACCCGCCTCTCCAGCTGGTTCCGCAACATGCTTTGATGGTCTATTCACCACCCACTTTCTCGTGTATCTACACGCTACTCCCGGACTACGCTTGTCACAACCTCTTCTTCATTACCTGCACTTGTCACATCTGTCACAACCTCTTCTTCATTACCTGCACCCGTCGCACCTGCGTCCTCATCAGTCTTAGTAACCTCTTCCATGCCGTTTGTGACCCTGACTGCCCCTTTTTGGTTCACAACTTCTTCCTCAGCGGCCTCGGTTGCTTCTACGATGATTCTGCAGGTGCAACTCAACCAGCGGCTGTTGTGTCGCCTTTGGTCTCGGTGTGTTCCTCCGTGGTATTTGTGGCCCTGCCCGCATTGCCACCTGCAGAGTCCCCTCTTCGGGTCTCACCTGTGACTGCCCCCCTTGTCTCTGCTTCAACCACTTCACCACCTTTGGCTTCACCACCCTCGTCTTCACCGCCCTTATTTCCCCTGGTTTTGTCTCTGTATGTTACCCACCTTCCTACTATTCCACCACCCCCGTCTTCACCGCTCCTGCCTCCCCTGGTTTTATCTCCATCCGTTACCCCTCTTCATGATCCACAAACGACTCTATCCACGCAGACTTCGTCATCCTATTCTCCGTCAGTCTCATCTGCCCCTGCGAAACGCTTATTTCGCCATCCTAGACTCCGACCTCAGCTCACTCCCCATCCTCATCTTACTCCCCTTTCCTCCATCTTTGTACTTGGACGAAGAAGAACCCGATCATTCTCCCCATCACGGCCCTCCCCAACATCCCGTCCTCGTCTTTTGTCGGCCCCAGCATCTGTGCCACGAGTACGACGCTCTTCGACTGCAGACCTTTCTGCAGCGCTACAAGCACAAAATAGGAGGGATGACGGTGAGGGACCATCTGAGGATGTACTTGGCAAGGGGACTGTAGGGGATTCTGTGGAAATCCGCCTGAGTGCCCTCCACCAAATCTGTGTGGCCTCGCTGCTACTAACATCTGCCTACAAGCCTATTGTCGGGAACCATACTCACTCTGATTTCTTAGCCGTTGCTTTTGATCTTGATGCTCGGGAGCATGAGTTATATCGTGATAGCCGGACTCAGCATCCCCCACACGATAGTAACTACACTTGACATGGGGGATTCAATGTCTCTGTTATGGAGACTGCATTGATAAGGCGCCAGCCCGACTCAACATCCCTCACACGATACTAACTACACTCGACATGGGGGATTCAATGTCTCTGTTGTGGAGACTGCATTGATAAGGCGCCAACTTGATATGCAGCATACCCTTTCGGGGGGTGACCCGGACCACTATTCGGACGTTTGTGCCTACACTCTACATACTCCTGGCCATTACACCGCTCTTGTCYGTGCCTCTGGTTCTTGGGAATTATGGAATGGCGGTGCTATGGTGCAAACTATTACTGCCATCTGTGATCTCGTGCATAATTACCCTAATCTGCAACTGTTCCAGGTTATTGACCCTATGGGTACCTCGTGTACTTCCGTGCCTGCCTCTGCATCCATCTCTGTGCCTGCCTTCACACCTGTCTCCGTGCCTGTTTCTGTGTCTGTCTCCTTCCAGGTTATTGACCCTATGGGTACCTCATGTACTTTCGTGCCCGCCTCTGCGCCCATCTTTGTGCCTGCCTCCGCACCTGTCTCCATGCCTGTCTCTGTCTGTCTCCGAGCCTACCTCCGTGTCTGTCACCGTGCCTGCTTCAGTCCCCCACATTCTGCACTAACCGTTTGTGACCTCTTTCTTTGTGCAGCCACTGACACAGTTACACTTGGCTGTGGAAAGCATCGACTTTGTCGACGTCACTACAACCGTATTATTTTTTGGGCCCGCTGTCTGCAGGGATGCCACTTATATCCGGATTGTGAACATCCTCTACATACAAATGCAGTATGTCCCATCTGTGCTTGCGGGTGCTATAGCGAATGTGCACTTAACTGTGATGGTGAATGCCCCACAATCGTCATGGCCTGCAACTGGCATGCCCTCTGCCGTGCATGCTTTAGAGGTATGGTTGATGCTAGCTGTCCTGGCTCCTGCTGTGTTGAGGTTGCTTGTCTGAATAGTCTTCGTCCTATAGATCGGTGGGAGGGCTGCTACCATCGTCCGCATCCTTATGATAGTTGTCCTATCTGTCGTGAGGGTCTTACTCAGATGTACCTTGGACCTTAACAAAAAGGTGCAGGTGCACTGAAAAAAGTGTACAAAAGTGGGAGACCCTTCACTAAAACTGCAAGACAGTGAAAGAAGAATGGAGTAAAAGAAAGAAGTTTGTGTCATTTTACTTTGTTTGTACCCCGCACCCTAACACCCTCAAAGAAAAAGTCAGAAGGGTGAAAATGAGAATAAAAAGTAAAGAAGGAAGTGCAGGTGCACTGAAAAGCGAATGTGGTAGACCCTTCACCAAAACTGCAAAACTGTGAAAGAAAGAATCATACAGTAAAAGAAAGAAGAAGTTGTGTCACCTTCCCTTTGCCTATCGGTTTTCCTTTTCTGCTCCTCTCTTCCTTCTGTTTAAAACTTCTCCCTTTACTCTGCCTCCTTCCCACAGTGTGCAAGTGGGCTGTTATGGCATACGGGGATGGGGGCAGCTCGCACTCAACTTCATCAACGTGGCGAACCTTGTACGTGAGAGGCGAAGTGGAGGAGAGTAAGAAGAACTGAGAAATTGAATGATTTCAATGTGTCTTTGTTTCTGATAAGTCCTTTGTTCAGTGTTAAAAAAAAAATGAAACACTGAAAAAAATAAGAATTCACAAACAAAGAAGAAGAAGACACTGTTTTGTGTCTTTCTGGTTTGTCTGTCTCTTTGCCTGTCTGTCCTTTCATTTTTTTCTTTTCTTCTCTCATCTGATTTCTTCTTCTACTTCACGTGTTTGCGCTCTTAGTCAATAGTTCTGTGACAATATGACGATATATATATATATCGTCACAAACAGAGCTGCCTGGTAAACCGTAGGCAGAGAGGGAGAAGAGGATAACAAACGAGGGGTTGTGAATATATATTTACAAGAAGACTCAGCTCATTTGATTAAACCAAATATTTCTGAATTGCCTGGGGCCGGTCAGCTCAAGACGGAAAAAAAAAGAAGGTAGGGAAAGTCTGTGGCGAAGAGTTGGGAAAGGACGATCGCCCCGCAGTTGGCCATCTTGTCGAGTGCGTGCCACCTCGGGTCTAAAGTCTCCACTAAAAACATTCCTTTTGTTTTTGAAAATAGTTTTATTTATTTATGTATTTACACAAGTGGGGAGACGCCCCCAGTTGTCCCTTACATCCACCAGGGTGTGCAGGAGGCTTGGTAGGAGGCTCACCGGCCAGGTGCAGGAGGCTTGGTCGAGGCTCACTGGCCAGGTCCAGCCTCCACTAGAAACATTCTGGTGGGAATTAATGTCTGGAAACCCTGTCCGGAACGACGCAGCAATTTTTTTTTTTTTTTTGTCTAACAACACCGCCCCTTCTATTCTGGGGGGGCATCAGTCCGGTTGCTTATCACCGGCAAGCATGTGTCCAAAACATGGAAAGAGAGGGGGGGGGGGGGGGGGGGTTGGAGGAGGAGGATAGGGGAAGGGAAGGGGAAAGAGAAGAGAACTTAGAGAAACGGCTTTAGTATGCTTTACCCTCGCGGCCCCGGTAGTCACCTGCCCAAGGGGTGGACTACTGCAACCCACACCCTCCTCCAGGTCCTGGCTCTTCTTCAGGGTTCCTCCTATCCTTCCTCCATAACCATAGTACACCTCGGTTACTATCCATGGAACTGTGATGTCCTGCTGATCTGCTAGATGCTTTCGGGCTCTGGTTCAGGACACGACTTAGCATGTTATGCAAGGGACGGGTATTTTTTTTTTCAATCCTATCAAGACATTTTTCCTGTCATCGTCCACTTCACCTGAACCTTGTGAAAAAAGGTTCCACTCTTTCCTTCCTCCTATATCTCCCCGCTCCCCTCCTCCATGAGTGGTTCATTTCTGTTGCTGGACATTGGTCCTCGCTCCACTACACAACACTCAACATGCATTTGGACGCCTTTCGGACTAGATACATTCAAGGTGTTGGACTCGTCTGAATGTACCTGCTTGAAAAAGCGTCCGAGTGCAGGTAGAGTGTTGTGTCATGGAGCGAGGCCCATTGTTTGTTTGAGCTTAATGTGTTGCGCTGTTTGATCCTATATCTCGGAGTTGAGGGAGCTGGTCAGTTTCTTCTTCTTCTTTCTTCTTCTTCTTCTTCTTCTTCTTCTTCTTCTTCTTCTTCTTCTTCTTCTTCTTCTTCTTCTTCTTCATGAAAGCGCCATTAGCGCGAGAGTACCTGCTAGCGGAGTTGGTAGGAGCAGCCTCCGCTAGCAGCCCTCGCAGTGTTGATGGCTCCAATCTATTGGTGGGGAGCAGCACCTGCTGGAAACGGGGTACATCGTCCCTTTGATAATGTAACATCATCAAGTTACAGAGTTTTCAGTAATTCAAGGTATGGTCAGTTTCTCGATTTTTCCTGCTGTGTTGTATTTCTCTGAGTTGAGAGGGAGCTGGTCGTTTTCCATTCTCACCAGAGCTTTGCGCTGCTTGATTCCGTTCTGTGCTGCACTGTTTCATTTTGTTCTGCTCAGGTACGTCTTCTATGATGGACCACCGTTTGCCACAGGTCTGCCACATTATGGTCACATTCTCGCGGGGACCATCAAGGTATGTGGGAGTTGATTGTGTTCCTTTGTAAACAGAGTGAAAATTTAATCGTAACAGAACTGAAGTCACGCTCGTCTAAATACTTGTACTTGATTTCTGCTTGCTGGTAATAAGCAACCGGACTGATGCCCCCCAGAATAGATGGGGCTTGTGCTTCTTCATAAAAAAAAAACAAGAAAAAAAGAAAAAAGAAAGTCGCAGCTGCTCGGAGGAGGATTACTCTCTCCTTTGGGCATTTAACTTCCGATGTTCCTGGCCGCAATTTCGGCCTTCTTTCCAACTGAAATCATCAGGTCCCTACTGGTGAGAAACCCGGTAAGCCCTGATGGTTTCGATTCCAAAAACGCCGAAATTGCAGCCAGGAAAGTCTAAGTTAAATGCCCAAAGGGGTATGTCCAGGGTCGTGGTGGATTGCCGTCTTAATGGGGTGGGGTCACTGCTGTCGTGTGCTCAGTACGGATGCCTACATGGATTTTGTGAAGGGGACTGTAGTGGTGTTGTCTTTTGCATGACTACAGTAGTTTTGTTTGAGGAAGAACCGCCCGTTGAGTAGTTTTTCATGCTTTTGCATGTGCTTGATGCGCCAAGGAGGCCTTTCGCATGTTGGTGTGTGGTGGAGATTGTTCTGGTGTGTGGTGTGTGACGCAAAGATTGGCCTATCTTCCCCCCTCGTGTTGCCTGAACAGGACATCGTTACAAGGTACCAGACTACGACGGGGCATCACGTGACGAGGCGGTTTGGTTGGGACTGCCATGGTCTACCCGTTGAGTATGAGATTGACCAGAAGCTTAACATCAAGGTAGGAGAGTCTCTGGTCCTCTTCTCTCTTTTTTTTTTTTTTTTTTTTTTTTTTGACGGTATGGAAAGAAATCCTTGCCTAGGAATGGGAGGATGACAGGTGTGAGCTCCCAAAGACTCTAATAAACAATCCCCGGTGGTGATCTGCTGGTCTTGTTCATTGTAATGTAAAGGTGAGACCTTCAAATTCTTGAGGTGCGTGTGATACTTGCAAGGTAAGGGTAATGACATGGTTTTTGTTGATGAGAAGTCCAGAAATGAACGAAAACACCTGACCTTTCAGAAGATACTTGCAAGGTAAGGGTAATGACATGGTTGTTGTTGCAAGGAAGGATAAGGAAGGAGAGGAGCCGTGGTTCACTTGTTGGTTCACTTGTTGTCCTGGAAATGCACGTGGCACCATCATATGTGAAGTGTGAATAGGGTACACCCGATCTTTCAAAAGATAATTCTGTCTGTGTTATCGTGGGCTGACTGGAGAATTGATCTTTTTGGAATATGTATCTAGTTGTTGGCTGTGGGCGGTGGCGAAAACACACCATGCAGGAACGCAAAAGGTTGTTCGCAAATGTGTACGCACACACACAATCTACAAATTGCCAGCAACTCCTTCAATCCGAAGATAATTCTGTCTGTGTTATTGTGGACTGACTGGAGATTTGATCTTTTGGGATGTATCTAGTTGTTGGCTGTGGGTGGTGGCGAACACACACACAGGACTGAAAACCTGATAAGGCTGAACTCCTTCGGCCTTATCAGCGGAACCGCATATGGACGCATGCACGGATCTACAAATTGCCAAAATAGGGTTGTTCACACACATGCACGCGCACACACATCTAGAAATTGCCACATGCACGCACTCACACATCTAGAAATTGCCATATGCGTGCACGCACACATCTAGAAATTGCCAGGCAGGAACTCCTTTCAATCCGAGGACCGCACCTACCTGAACAGCCGGGACCACCATTCTGAGGTGGGCAGCGAATTGAACGGTCTCATTTTCTAAGGTGTGCGGCGATGTTGACTAAAGGAACACACAGCAAACGAACTGAAAACCGGATGTGACTACCAGCCATGAAAAGGGACAACAACTGGCTCTCTCGTCCATCTCCGGCAGAACCACTGTTCTGAGGTGTGGGCAGCAAATTCAACGGTCTCCTTTTCCAGGGTGTGTGGCGATGTTGACTCAAGGAACAGATCAGACGAACTGAAAACCTGATATGGTTGGCCGTGGAGGATCCACAGGGCGAAAAAGAGAAGGGGCAACAACTGGATCTCTTTGCATTTTTAATCAGAGTTTGTGAATGGACCATCATTAACATGGATCATTGGTCTTAGATCAGGTGGGAGTACAGGAATCGTAGAAAAAACACCCATCGAACCATCTCCTCGTACGTTGGTCCGAAACCTGCTCGCCGATTATCATCCAAACCTGTGTGCCGGACGAGGAGGATGATCTCATCTGAAACCGCCTGTGTGTTGGAGGATGGAAGCAACCATCGGAGACCTGGGTGACCAATGAGAAGAGTCATCAATCCAACGCCTGACAGCTGGATGACAAGAATAGTCGTTTACCTGTATGCGTGCGGGATGAGTGGATCACACAACAGTTCACAGGGGCGTCGTTGTCAAGGCAGGCCTGATGCCGGGACAAATACAATCCCAAGGAGGAGGAGAATAGTGCAAGTCGAGAGCATCAATATACCTGGGGAGGAGGAAAAGTAACGTCAACGAATATGTGGAAAAAACAAAAAAACTGATGATACCGGCTTATGAAGATTGAGTGCCTAAAGGAGTGGATTGTCATCGTCTATGACGCGCTGCGAATTTACAAACTAACGGTCTGACAGGCTGAGAGGTCCGTGGGTTGACAGTGTCACAACTTTGATGGTGGAACGCCAGAATGAACGAAGCAAAAAGGAAATGAGGCCCTCAATCACACATAAGCTGTTGCTCTCTGCCAAAAATTTAGGCCGCTGTAAGTGATGGCACGTTCCCAAAGAAAGAGAATTGGTAGGGTATGGATGGCAGTGACCTGTGACTCTTGAGGACAGTCGTACTCTCTATCCCACGTCCTAGTTATGGTACCGGCTCCCACTCTCCCGCCTAAGGGACGTGGTCCTCCCATACTGAAGGAGTGTGGATGTTGGGCAGTTGAAAGGCATCCACTAGATGGAATATTCTCAGGGCCGGGCAGTGCTAAGGCATTCAATGCACCAGACTACAGATGTGTGTGTGTGTGTGTGTGTGTGTGTGTGTGTGTGTGTGTGTGTGTGTGTGTGTGTGTGAGAGAGAG